ATGAGGGGCTGCCCGGTCTCAAGACGGGGATGCCGCTCGACACCTCGTCCATCGTTTTTTTTGTTTTCTTTCTTCTTCTTCTTCCACTTTCACGGCAACTCGTCGATGTACGCCTGAGGTGAAACATCCCACTGATACGAAATCTCCTTGAAACGAAACGGCTCCACCGGAGAGGAAGAGGAGGGAAGAGGAGGAGGAGGAGGAGGAGACCTCGTCCACCGGTATGATCATACCTTCGCGCGTCCCTTTGTGGCCCGTTGGAGGGGCGCGCGGCAGCCAGTGCCTCTTCAAAGCGGGGCTCCTCGCCTGAACGGCAGGCCTATATGAAGGGGAACTGGGACACACAAATAAATACACACAGCTAAAAGGATTCCCCATATTTTCCTATATTTTCTGGGTTTCTGTCTTCCCCATGTTTTCCCATACTTTCTGGGAGTCGACGATTAATTGTGTCTGTGTGTTTTTTCCCCTCATGACTATAGGCTGCTGGTATGTCAGGGGGGCTGTTCTTGAACGGAAGAGTCCAGTGAACCCGTATAAGAAGGACGCGCGATCAGGTGCAGGGGCCTCGGATGCCCATGGTCGACACTTTGCGAGCGGGCCGCGGCCACCGACCACGGCCAAGGATGGGCCGAAGGGGAAAGATGCAGGGGTGCCCTTGGAACGTCGTTCATCCTTACTATGCTGGCTGGCTCTATGAAGACTTGTTGGGTCTTATAGAGAGGGGGGGGGGCTGGGGCGGGAGGGTGTATTGCAGCTGTTGATGCATCTTGGGTTTACTCTGGTCCTCCTCCTCCTCCTCCTGCTCCTCCTCCTCCTGCTCCTTGCTACCCCTTGTAATCCTCCTCCTCCTCCTCCTCCTCTTCCACCACTCTTCTTATACGACTCCTCACCATCGCTCTCCTCCTCCTCCTCCTCCTTCTCCTCCCCCCTTGCTGACCACAACACCACCGCATTCCTCCTCATCTCCCTTCACCTTCTTCTCATACGCTCCCTCTTCCTCCTCATCCTGAGTCTCTTGCTGCGCGCCGCCCGCTGCACATCCCCCGCATCCAGCTCCTCCTTCCCTCCCGCTCCTACCCTCCCTGTATACCCCCCCCCCCTCCTCGTCCTCGTCTTCTGACCCGCCTCATCATTCTTCGCCAGTGACGCTGCCTCCTTCTTCTCCTCCCACGGCCAGACCCAGGACAGCATACCATCCTTACAAGACCACTCGAGGGTACCCCCCAGGATGCTCAAGAGCATTCAACAAACGCGAAGAGCATTGGGGCACCCTCCCCGAACTGGCCTCGATCTCTTTGCATGCCTCGATCCGATCGTAATCGTCCTCCTCGTCCTCCTCTTCCTGCTCGTCCGTCTTGGCCTTCCATCATCTGGGCCCGCCTTACGCCACCCCCTAGTCCTCGCCAACTTTCTTAACAACATGAAGCAGATAGGGCACCTCTGCGCGCCCGTTCCTTCAGCTCATCCTCCCCACCCCACACCCCCGCTCCTGCCGCTCCTCCTTCTTCTCCTCCTCCTCCTCCTCCTCCTCATGCCGCTCCTCCTTCTTCTCCTCCTCCTCCTCCTCCTCCTCCTCCGCCTCCTTCTCCTCCTGCTCCTGCTCCTCCTCCTCCTCCTCCTCCTCCTCCTCCACCTCCTCCTCCTCCTCCTCATCCTCTTCTCCCTCTCCTCCTCCCTCCCCCTCCGCCGCCGCCGCCGGCTCCTCCTCCTCCTTCTCCTCCTCTTTCTCGTCCTCCTCCTCCTCCTCCTCCTCCTCCTCTGGCCTCCCTCTCTCCGCCCCTGCTCCTCTTCCGCCTTTCCCCCCTGCCGCTGCTCCGCCTCCCTCTTCCTCCTCCTCGCCTGTGGACCTGCCAAGCCGAGGCGCGCGCGTGCGCGCCGGCCCTCCTCTGCCTCGTCCGCGCTGCCCTCTGCTGATTACGTGCTGCGGGGGGGGTGGGGGAGGGGCGTTCCTCCTCCCCCCCACACAGGCCGTCGTTTCGCTGGACTCGGGCCCCTGGCGTTAGCAGTAAGCCCGTCTGCGGCTGCTCCTCCTCCGCCTCCTCCCACCCTTCTCTTCCTCCTCCTGCTCCTCCTCCTCCTCCTCCTGCTCCTCCTCATGCACCACATATGCCTGTAAAGGCACGTTCATGTAAGTCCTCTACACTGGGATCTGCCAAGACACTTGTATGGCCAACAGGTGTGAGTGTGCGTGCTGTCTGCATGTGTACACACAGGTGCACACATGTTTGAGCGTGTACTCTCGCATGGCAGTTCTGTGTTGTGTCCTGCCGTCGCGCCACCAGACGTGCTGACCAGGCTGAGCGGCTCTTCTGGTCGCCCTAAATTCCTCCGACGGAAGGACCCCACATGAGAATCCTCTGGGCGAATCTGGAAAAAACCCTCACCGTCGTCCTCGTGGTTGGTGAGACGTCCTGGCTGTCTCGTCTGCGTATATTTCTTCTCGCCCTGGCGCGGGCCCTCCCCCCGCTCCCTACGTTGCCCCCGACCTCGCCCTCCTGTTTTGGCTCCGGACATTCAGAAAATGGCCCGGGAGTGGTGTTCTGGGAACACGAAGAACACGAAGTGGCCTACAGTTGGCTCCGGGCATTCAAAATGTGGCCAGGGAATGGTGTTCTGGGAGCACGAAGAACACGAAGTACCCCACGGTTGGCTCCGGGCATTCAAATATGGCCTGGGAATGGCGTTCTGGCAGCGCGAGAGCCCAAAAGTGGCGACAGTTACAGGAATTGGATGACCCGCTCGGATTAGTAACATGATCCGCGGGCCCCATAGGGAGGGGGCTCCCGCTTGAGACTTTCGCAATTCACTCACAAATGTGGCCTGGGAATGGCGTTCTGGCAGCGCGAGAGCCCAAAAGTGGCGACAGTTACAGGAATTGGATGACCCGCTCGGATTAGTAGCATGATCCGCGGGCCCCATAGGGAGCGGGCTCCCGCTTGAGACTTCCTCGCAATTCACTTACAAATGTGGCCTGGGAGTTGCGTTCTGGCAGCGCGAGAGCCCAGAAGTGGCGACGGTTACAGGAATTGGATGCCCCGCTCGGATTAGTAACATGATCCGCGGGCCCCATAGGGAGGGGGCTCCCGCTTGAGACTTCCTCGCAATTCACTCACACATGTGGCCTGGGAATGGCGTTCTGGCAGCGCGAGAGCCCAAAAGTGGCGACAGTTACAGGAATTGGATGACCCGCTCGGATTAGTAACATGATCCGCGGGCCCCATAGGGAGGGGGCTCCCGCTTGAGACTTCCTCGCAATTCACTCACAGACGAGGCCCAAGGCGAGTGAGTGAGTGAGTGAGTGAGTGAGTGAGTGAGTGAGTGACTGATGATGATGATGATGCTGCTGCTGATGCTGATGCTGATGATGATCATCACACACTCTCTCACTCGCACACTCATCATCATCATATGTGAGTGCTGATGAGTGAGTAAGTAAGTAAGTAAGTGAGTGAGTGAGTGAGTGAGTGAGTGAGTGAGTGAGTGAGTGAGTGTGTGAGGGATGATGAGTGAGTGAGTGAGTGAGTGAGTGAGGAATGAGTGATGATGATGATGATGGTGGGTTCCTGTTCCTGCGCGGTGTGTCCAGAGAAAACAAGAACCCCACTTTGGATGTGGGGAACAAGAAGTGGCTCGAATGACTTCGGCTATCAAGGGGTATGCAGATGGAGGGCAACTCGCGTTGAAAAAGTGTCTCCTGCCTAAGCACCACACATTGCCGTCTTAAACACTCCCGTGCGCAGCACAGAAGGGAGGGGAGGTCGTTGGCAAAATGTGGCTCCCGCCTGAATGCCACACACTGTCGACTCAGTTGCTTGCCACGGTTGCACGGGTGGAAGGCGGTGTCATGTTGTAGTCGGGCTCTCGAGTGGTACCTCCTCCAAGACTTATGGCGACCACTTAACCGTGCACCGGAATTGTACAACAGGAGGGGGTGCCGCTTCCAAATTACCATATCGCGCGAAGCTGTCCTGGACTGTACGTCCCGAATGTGAACAACAGACCACTGGCCAGTCGGATAAAGGGCGGCTTCATTTCAAGATACAGCGTTCGATTGATACGTCATTGAAGGCTCTTCCCAGCTAGGCTGCCTTGCCAGTAGCATCAAACTCCGTTTGGACAAAACGGCCAATGCGAATTCGTCCAATTCCGCCAGTTCCCCATGGGGGTCCATGGTCTACCCAGGGGTTCCCCGTCCCCTGGGGTTGGGTCCCGAAAGGTTCCCCGTTTGTTTGCTTGCTTTGTTTTGCCGTGCGCCGATTCGCGTTGAATTGCTTTGCACCGCGTTACGCTGCTCTGCATTGCGTTTGGTCTCTGTGGTGTGCGTTGCAATGTGCTGATTGCCTTGCTCTTTGCTATGCGATGCTGCGCACTACTACCAAGTGCGTCGTGTCGTGGAGCGCTGTCTTGCAAAACTTGCACTGCAGCTCATTGATGTGCAATGTTTCCATGCGGCCCGTTTTGATATGCTGATCTGCCATATGCCTTGAGTCGCAATGCCTCCATGCCATTGCGTTGTATTGCGTTGATGTCATGCGTGCTGCGTCGCGTGTCATGCCGTGCGTTGTGGTTTGCAATGCCGTACAGTGCGTGCCTTCGCGTAGCGCTGGTTTGCATTGCAGTGTAGCGCTTTGCGCTGCACGGCTTGCTTGCTTCGCATTACTAGCTGCTGCTGTGGTTCCACTTGGCTTGCCATGCGCTCCCATATTCCTCCTTCTCTTGCTCATTCCTCCTCCTCCTCCTGCTGCTCCTCCTCCACAACACCCCCAACCACCGTCCCTCACCATCATCCCCAGTTCACCCAGTCTCCCGCAACAAGCTCTGCAGCCGAGCCGCCCACACTGCCATCGCTCGCACGTCCATTTCCCTGTGCAGCGGTCGGCTTCGTGCGCGCTGTTCCTCGATATTTAGTCCGCGGGTGCTCATCGATGGTCCACGCCGGAAAAAAATGCACACGTCCGAGCGATGCCAGCCCAACCGCGGCTCGTCACACGGAAGGCCTTCCGATCCGCGCCCAGATGCGCACCTCTTCGTGGATCTGCCTCCTCGCCTCGCGGGACGCTTGCAGACGCGGCCCTCTGAGGATGACCAGGAGGAGGAGGAGGAGGACGACGACTACCAGAAAAACAAGGACAAAGAGGACGAGGACGGGGACGGGGACGGCGACAACGAGGAGGACGACGAGGAGGAGAACGAAAACGAGGACGACGAACGGGAAAACGGGGGGGGAGGCAGGGTGGGTGAGGGGGAAGCGGGGAGGGGAGTGGTGTGGGGGGACCACCCTGCTGCTTACCCGCACAGTGCACTCGCGACTAGTCGCGCTTGCACTCGCAGCGCGCTCGTGGAACCAATGGTACAACGGCGACTTTAATGTGCAGGGTGAGCGCGCGACATCTAAATATGCACCTTCTCCGGGCTCGTACTGTCTACCCGATGTAATAATGTGTCTACAGGTTGGGGCTCGAGGCGGCACGACCAGGTGCAGACCACATAACGGTATGGCAGGGGATGGGTGAATGGTGCCGACTGCGGTGACAAAGACTTGCCTTCTCTTCATCTTAGTTCCACCCCCAAGCCCCCGTCCTGCGTCCCCAACGCAGTCAGCCAGCCTCGTAAACCCCAGAGGACGGGGAAGAGAAGGCAGCGCAGAATCGAGACACGGAGAAAGCGGAAGAGGGGAGGGGGAGGCGACGAAGGCGGAAACGGAGGACCGATCTCCAAAAGACCCCCTGCGACTGCACTGAGGCCACGTTCAACCCCATCAATCCCTCCATCTAGACGCCCGAAGTGCAAAGAGCAAAGGCGGGAAATAGATGGCCGACAGCACGTGCTGCCCCAGTGCGCAGCGACTTCCGCTGGTCTGGGCAGGCGCCTCTCGACTCGTGGACAACGAACCATGCGTGAGGTGAAGAAAAACTGCGGCCCGTCTTCGTTCCCATTCGCCCCGCCCCCCGTGCCAGCCCCCCACCTCCCCCCCCCACTTCCGCCGCCGGCCCCGCTCTGGCCCCAGTCCCCCTTCCGCCCCCCGTCCCCGCCCCGCCCCCCAGCGCCCCTGTCCATGCCCACGTCCACCCCCCGCCCCAGTGTCCTCCTCCAGCCCGATGCCCCTCTCCTACCACTCTGGCCTCTAGCCACCCCTGGACTCCAGCAGCCGCGCACTGGCGATTGCCTGAACACCGCCGCAGGCCCCTCGTCACCCCTGCCCGTGCCCGCACCGCACTCCACCATCCGCTGCCGCATCCACGCCCCCGCCACGCGCCCACCTCCCTTCCTCCTGGACTCTTCCTCTGCCTGCCGTTCCCCTGCCCCCCCCCCATTCCGCCTCTTCGCCCCCTCCTTGGCCTCTTCCTACATCCACCGCGCCTCTCGGCCGCGTTCTCTCTCTCTCTCTCTCTCTCTCTCTCTGTCTGTCTGTCTGTCTCTCTCTCTCTCTTTCTCCCTCGTCTCTCGGCTCCCCTCCCTGGCCCCCTCGGGCCCTCCCTGGCCTCCCCTCGCCCCGTCTTCCCCCCTTCCCCTCCCTTCCTCCCCTCCTCCTCCCCTTCCCTCCTCCCCTCCCTTTCCCCCCCTGCCCTCTCTTCCTCCCCTCCGCCTCATCCATCCACCCTCTCTCCATCCCCCTGTTCGATCCCCATCCCCTGTCTCTGGATCCGCCGTGCTTTGTCGGTTGATTTTCCGATTGCCAGTTGTGCCAGAAATGCACCCCAAACGATGCAAACAGGAAAGAGCGACACTTCCGCAGAGGTCCGGCAAGAACAGCGACGGCGAAGCAGAGCGGAAATCGGCATCAAAGGAGCTTGAGCAGTAAGAGACGAAGCCAGGACGAGGATAACATCGGGTGAGGATAAAATCGAGAATCCCTGAGATACGGCGGCTCTGGAGCATGTCTCGGGGGCCGCGGCCTTCGCAGAGCAATCCGGAACGCTCTGAAAGTGTTCCGCCACGCTCTGGAACGGATTTATCCTCGTCCTAGCTCCGCCCTGTACTCCTCTCCTTCTCCTTCTCCTCCTCCTCCTCCTCCTCCTCCTCCTCCTTCTCCTGCTCCTCCTGCTCCTGCTCCTGCTCCTCCTCCTCCTCCTCCTCCTCCTTCTCCCGTCCGAAGTAAGGCGGAGCATGAACCAAACATGTTATGTTCCCCTTTCGCCTCCTCGCCTCTCTCGCTGCGGTGGCCCGCCGCGTCCAGCATGCTGCGGGGCGGAGGGGGCGGCGCCTTCTGCTGGCGGCTCTCCTGGCACAGGGGGATGATCTTCACCTGGGAGGCAGCAGAAGGACAGAACGCAGGATGATGATACTGATGATGTTGTGGATGACGATGATGATGGTGATGCTGATGGTGGTGATGATGACGATGATGATGGTGGCGATGCTGATGCGGAACATATGATAGTGATGGCGATAGCAAGGATGGTGATGATGATGGTGCTGCTGCTGCTGCTGATGATGATGATGATGGTGATGATCAAGATGCTACTGCCGCTGATCAAGGGCATGGTGATGATGATTTGGATGGTGGTGATGATGATTACGGTGGTGGTGGTGGTGGTGGTGGAAAGCTGGTGAGTATGATGATCCGAATGATGATAATGATGATACCGGTACTGACACTGATACTGTTGGTGATGACGATGAGGATGCTGATACAGCTGCTACTGCTGATGCTGATGCTGCTGATGATGCTGATGATCAAGATGCTGCTGCTGCAGATGATGATGATGGTGGTGATCATCATGGTGATGATGATGACGCTGACGCTAATGATGATGACGATACTGAGCATACTACTGATGGTGATGACGATGCTGCTGCTGCTGGTGGTGATGATGATAATGATCATGGTTATGATGATGGTGATGATGGTGATGATGATGAGGAGGATCACGGTGGTGGTGGTGATGACGCTGATGCGGATGCTGATGCTGATGCTGCTGCTGCTGCTGATGATGATGATGATGATGATGATGATGATGGTGATCCTCCTCCTCCTCCTCCTCCTCTTCCTGTCCCTCCTCTGTCGCATGCTCCTTCGCATCCCCGTCCCGCTCCTCTTCCCCGTCTCTTCCCCCCCCGTCCCCCTCACTCCCTCCCATCCCTCGGAGAAGGAGGGGGAGAGCGAGGAGGCAGAGAGGAGGAGGATGAGGAGCAGAGGACCTGAAGCGATGGCGCTGGGACACCCTGGCCCCTGTGAGCGGGCTTGGCTGCATGCCACCGCCCTGGGAGGCACGGCGGCCCCGAGCGGCCGTCGCGGTTCATCCCTTTCCTGCCACTGCTGCCGCCACTAGACAAACAACTTCATCGCAGGCCTAGAAGTTGGCACCAACACCAATATCGGCGTTGTGCCTCCACCGAGGAATGAAGATCCCGATCTCGGTGATGGTGGTAATCCCACCAGCCCTCTGGGCGTCGGTGGTTTAGGGCGTTTCCTCTTCCACTCCTCCCTCTTCCCCTTCGGGGAGGGGTTTACCCCCTCCCCCAACCCCCTCCCCATGGACCTGGACGGGGGGGGGAGGGCGGGGAGGTGTCAGCTCGTACCTTTTCGCCCAAGTTGACTCCAAGAAGGCCACAGCGAGCCCAAGATAGCTTCCAAGATGGCTCAAGATAGCGCAAGATGCCTCGACATAGCTCCCAAGATGCTCCAAGACCGCCCCAAGATGGTTCGAAGTGGCCAAAAGAGCTCCCCAACGAGGCCCCGACGAAGCCAAACATCGCCCCACAACCTAACGAAATCAATGTTGTGTTGCTTTCTCACCCTTTCGCTTCCGATGGCCATCCGGGGCTTCAAGATGGCTCCAAAATGGCCCAGGATGGCCCCACGAGGGGCCCAAGGGAGATCCGAGACAGCCCCAAGAGCGCCCAAAAGCGCTCGAAGAACGCCCCAAGATGGGTCCAGGAGGCGATGTTTGGTGCGTGCTCCTGAAGAGGGGGGGGGCGTAATTAAGGACCCCCCCGTCGTTGACCGATATCATCCAAGATGGCCCCAAGAGAGCCCCTAAAGCTCCCAAGAACGCCCCGACAAGGCCCCCAAAAGGAGCCCAGACTGGCCCAAGAGGCGCCCAAGACGCCCCAATAGCTTCCCAAGGGGCCCCCAATAAGCCTCAAGAGTCTCTCTGAGGTTCCTAAAAAGCTCCCAGACGTTTCAAGACGCTTCCACGACAACTCCGAAGCGACATCCTAGGAGACCATTATGTTCGTCATGTTTCTTGCTCCTCCTCCTCCTCCTCCTCCTCCTCCTCCTCCTCCTTAGATTCCTTCTCCTCCTTCTCATCATCATCCCTGTCCGCCTACTAGAATACTCCTCCTTCCCCTCCTCCTTATCAGCCTCCTGCTCCTGCTCCTGTTCCTGCTCCTGCTCCTTCTCCTCCTCCTCCTCCGCCGCCTCCTCAGCATCCTCCTTTTTGTTCTGTTCTCCTCCCCCAACATCATCCTCCTCCCCCATCTGGCCCATTTGCATATCCTGTTATTCGCCTCCTCCCTCCCTCCTGCTCCTCCTCATCATCATCCTTGTCCGCCTATTCGAATATTATACCTCCCCTTCCTCTTTATCAGCCTCCTGCTCCTGCTCTTGCTCCTGCTCCTGCTCCTGCTCCTCCTCATCCTCCTCCCACTCATGACAAGTTGCTGATCCTGTGTTTCGCCTCCCCCTTATCTCTCTTCTCTGGTTACGGCGGTGTCCTAAGCTGTCGCTGTTGAGGCGTAAGAGACCCCCCAAAAATAATTTCCCAAGACGCCCCAAAGTGCCCCCAAGGAGATTCCAACCGCCTCCAAGAGGCGTCACCAAGCATCAACAACTGCCTCCCTCAGGCCCCAACGCGGCCAACCACGAGCACCCAACCGACATCCATGACGCCTCTGGCACACCGCCCAGCAAAACTGGCCAAACACGCCGAAAGCTACAACATAGCCCCATGAAGGCCCCCAAACACCCCCCCCCCCCAAAAAAAAACATCAAGAAGGCCCGAACAAACCACAACTATTCACTTTTCGCCTCAAGTTCGATATGTTTTCATTTCGTACAAACTAACCACCCAGAGTTCCACTACGCCCTGCCACGCACCTGCCTCACTTCGCCGCTTCCTCTAGCGCGGTGGCGGATCTGTGCGGCAGCGCAACTGGATATCTCAAGTCACGACCCAGACCATAGACATTTGGCAAGGATGCCACAGGCGAGACCCAAGGAAGCTCGCGTTGGGGAAGAGTTGCTCAAGAGCTTGCAACAAACATCGCAACATGATGTAATACATCAGAGCTTTCCGACCGATCATAGGCAACACAGATGGCACGCACGCGCCCCAAACGTTCACAAGCGTACGCATTCCTCGTGTATTCCTGATGATCCTCCTCAAGCACCAAGAGACTCACAATCAGTGAACACGACGACAAGGAAAGAAGGAGGAAGAGAAGAGAAAGACGAGGAGAAGAGTCAGGAGAAAAAGGAAGAACAGGAGGAAAGACAAATGCCGAGAATAAGGAAGAGGAGGAGGAGCCAAAGAAGAACGAGGATGATCAGGAGGATGAGGACGATGACGAAAAGCAGAAAGAGGAGGTACAGGCTGACAAGGGAGAAGGAGGAGAAGAGGAGAGGAAGACACGGAGGAACAGTTCGCCTTCTGAGGCCATCCTACAGGCCATCCTACAGGGCATCGTGTTCGCCTCAACCACTCTCCCCAAACACCTGTCTCCCTCTTCGCTCCAAGGTGACCGACGAATACCAATCATCGATGCTTATTCACAGAACGGCTGTTTTAGGATGGGCTGGTGGGGATTCGCGAAGCGTCAACAATAATTCTTGCTTCCAAGATGGCCGACGCATTACCACCAACACCGAAATCTAGGATCATCTTCCCCCTGTGGAGGCACCCTCCTGTGCTGGTGCTGGTGACCCAGCTGCTGGTGCCCATTTCCAGGCCTCCAAATTCATGAACGTGAGCCATCGGGAGCCCGCGCAACACTCTCGGATCGGCGATGGACCTCCCTTCCTGGCGCGCGGAGCGCGCCGGCGGGGGTCGGCATGAGGCGCCGCCAGGGGCCCTCCCAACCGCAGATCCGCCGTAATGCGTGGGCGATTTCGCAGGCAGGGCGCAACTTCCCGCCCTACCTTCAAAACTCCTCAGGTGTTTTCCGCCCTACGTTGCCGTCGCTGTGTCCGCCGTGTCTGGGCGGAGACGTCCGCCAAAAATACATTTCTGAGGCCGTAGTTTCCGCCATGCCCTTTCTCGCATCGTTCGGCGTGCATGTCCGAACCAGTTTTACGTCGGAGGATCAGCCAGAGTACGGCGGGTCCAAAGTCAGGGCGGCGGGTGGCCCAGCGCCGATCCCGAGCTGATCTCCGCATATTCGGGTGTAATGTGCTCTTCTTCGGGCCACCGCTGCCGCCACCTCTGCCGGAAGCCGGGGACGGCCCCAAACCGCCCGCCGAGCATACTTTTCACCACGAGACGAGGTCTGGCGCTCTGGCCATACAGCAGACACATGATCAAGAAAACAAGCTTCAACCTGGGCCAGCTTCCTGGACGTTTCTTAAAACAAGCCTGGGCCAACTTTTGTCGTTCACGGTGGAGGGGCGAACGTGCTCAAGAAAGTGGGCCAGCCTCCCCGCAAGCTGGCTAAGAAACGCTGGCCCGGCTTTTCGGGAGGAAGTGTCTTCATCAGATGCTCGACTGTGACTGGGGTCTCCACCGACCGTTCGGGACTTTCCAGGCTGAGGCGCCCTCGGAACGCGCTCGGCGAGGCCCACCTGCTGCAGCGCACCCCGAAGCAAGAACCTTTCCGTAAACCGACGAAGACGCCCGGAAATCTCGCCCTTACTTCGGATCCGCACTGCTCTGGTCGATCTTCCGGCGAACAAATGCGTCGCAAAGGTATCCAAACGATGGGAAGAATGTCGGGTGGAAATGTCCGCCTCAGAAGAGTAGTGCGGAAATGTCCGCAAAAATATGGCGGAGACCGCGAGTGCAAACTAGGCGGAAATCGGCACCGAAACAACATGAAACGTTCGAAAACGCCCGAACGCCTCGAACACCGAACCTCTCCTCCGAGCCACCACTGCCGCCGTCGTTGCCGCTGCCGCCACCGCTCGTCTCCACGCAAGAGCGACCCTACAAGCCAAGACTGACCTATACTGCGCGACATTGTTGTAGAAAGGTCGCGGGGGGGGGGCAAACCCAAGCGGACAAGCCGTTGCTGTCGCAGCACATCCGTCGATCGGGGGAACGCCGTGGGCCCGAACCACAAGTAACTACGGCGGACGGTCATCCCTCAGACCCCCGACCCCCGACGTAATGTTTTTCCCAAACATCCTCTGGCGTTGGGTCCTCGGTTTGAAGAGAGAGCGCCCCGCGTTCCTCCCTCCTGCCCATGCTTACTTCTGCTCTCCGCATCACTCCACCAGTTCGGTACACCACTCACACGCATCGTGGCCTCATTGGGAACACCTCCAAAGGCCCCACCGGCGCAATTTCGGCACACCCCTCGCGCGCTTCGCTACCCCATGGAGAGCTCCACCGAAAAGCCCCAGCGGCAGTGTTCGCATGCGCCCTTGCGCAAACCAGGCCCTCTTCGACGCCCTGGCTGCGGGCCGCGCTGGGGCGGAGCTGGAGCGGGGCTGCTGCCCCCGCGCCCCGCCGGGGAGGCCACCCCCGGGAGCGAGCAGGGCGGGCCCCAGGTGGACGACAACGGCCCTTCTGACATCTACCTGCCGCGGTGACGCAATGGCACGGCGGCCGCCTGGGACTTTGCCGCCGCGTCAGGGTTGCGCGCCGATCTCCCCGCCGCGTCGGCCGCTTCGTCAAGCGCGGCGACGGAGCGGCACGAGGAATTCAGAAGGCCGCACCAAGACACCGCGCGGCTGTGCGCGGCACAAGGCTTCACCTTCGTCTCCATGGCGGTGGAAGCCCACGGCGGCGGGTGGGGCCGCGAAGCACGCAGAGCCTTCGGGGTCCCGGCCAAGCGGTTGGCTGACGCCCCGGGGGAAGACGCCGCGCTGCCTGCGGACCCACACGCCCGGCGACTTTCCGTCTCCCTGCGCAGGGAGAATGCGCGGGCGGTGCTGCGGCGCCTCCAGACGCAGTCTGGGGGGGAAGGGGGGGCAGCGGACTGCCTGGCCGCGGCCACGGCTGCCTCCACGGCGGACGCCGTGCGAGGTGCCCCCCCCCAGCGCTGCCTAGCGCCCCGCGGTCACCCCTCCGCCCTTTGCTGGGCAGCACGGGCGCCCCCCCGCGCCCTTCGCCAGCGTCGCGCCGGCGACCTCTCACGCGCGCAGTGCGGTCCTTCCTCGGCGGGGCGGCGGATGGATCCCGCAGAGGGCAATTCCCACCAAGCCGCAACGTGCTGGGCTCGGTCGGCCACCCCGCCCAGGTCGCCGCCGTAGGGTCCGTAGCCTCGTCGCGGGTGGCTCTTCTCTCCCGGCCCCTGGCCCGGCCTGTCTGCTTGCGGTCGCTTCCCCTCCCATCCTCCTTGTCCTCCTCCTCCTCCCTCGCCTTTTGTTCCCTGCCTGCTTGCTTCCCCTCTCCTCCTCTTCCTTGCTTCCCTCCCTTTCCATTATTTTCCTTTCCTTTCCTTTCCTCCTGCTTCCTGCCTGTTGTCTCCGCCTGGCCCCTTTTCAGCCTGCCCGCCCGCCCCGCCGGCCCTAGCCTCCCGCCTGCGCGTTCGTCGTCGTCTGCTTCTCCCCTCCTCGACCCCTTCCGCCGGGCAGCACAGCCTGTCCAGGACCAGCGTAGCGGCGTGTAGGGCTTCGACAAGAGGGCCAGAGAACTGTCGCAGATTTTGGCAGATTTGGAGCCCCCCGAGCCATGCTGGCACACCCCTCACACGTCGCGTGGTCCCACAGGGAGCCCCTCCAAAGGCCCCAGTGGCAAGGTTCGCATGCGCCCCCCCGCCCCATTTCGGCACACCGCTCACATGCTTTCGCTGCCCCATAGGGAACTCCACCTACGGCCCCAGTGGCAGGGATCGCACGCGTACCCCCGCTCTGTTTCGGCACATCCTTCACACGGTTCGTGGCCCCATAGGGAGCTCCTCCAAAGGCCCTAGAGGCAGGGTTCGCATGTATCCCCCCGGCACCATTTCGGCACACCCCTCGCACGGCCAGAGGCAAGGTTCGCATGCGTACCCCCGCACCGTTTCGGCTGACTCTTCACACGCTTCGTGGTCCCATAAGGAGCTCCTCCGAAGGCCCCAGGGGCAGGGTTCGCCTGCGTCCGCCCCACCCATTCGGGCACACCCTTCACACGCGCCGTGGCTCATAGGGAACTCCACCTAAGGCCCCACAGGCGGCATTCGCATGCGGCCGACCGCCCCAATTCGGCACACCCCTCGCACGCTTCGTGGCCCCATAGAGTAGAGGGCTCCGCTGAAGGCCCCGGTGGCTGCGCTCGCATGGTACCACCGCGCCAATTTCGGCACACCCCTCACACGCTTCGTGGCCCCATGGGACTCCACTGAAAGCGGTAATCCCGATAGTGTTTGACGGTCACAGGACCTGGCGAGGGCCCCGGATGCCAAAAATAGCGAAGAAAACTGCCCGTCTTGTTTTTTCATGACCCAAGGATGTCCGGGTCGTATGCATCGCCGAACCGCTGCCGTTACCGCCCGCCGCTGCCGCTCGCCGCTTCGTCCTTCCTCGTCTTGCCATCGTTCGGACCTCTGTTCCCCGTACAGTGTTTGGTTTCGTGTGTGTGTGTGTGTGTGTTTCTTTTTCGCCGCAGCATGATCCAATGTGGCCTTCGATTTGAGCAGGCACCGACCTTCCAGGCATTCTTATAGGCTATAAAGACTAGCAGGATACGTGCCCAGAACAAACGCATATCCGAAGGCCATAAACAATGTTCTTCGAAACTACAGGCTATGTATTACAGCCGAGCGGCCCCGGCCAGAAACATTACAAGAGCAGGTTCTGGAAGCCGCAGAAAGTGTCTTACATCTTTTTGGGGGGCATGTAGGCAAGCCAGGACGCCTTGCCACTGCTCGATCGATATGGTCCTCGCCGAGAAAAACAAACACACACACACA